ACTTCTCCTCACCATCCTTTAAAGCTCCAGGGATGATAATCTTGGCTGCTAATATCAACCAGTCCACTCCTTGGACTACCTGGTGAGGAGTGAATCCTGCTGCACTCTATTAATCAGGAAAGCTTTCAGGAAATGGGGAATGAGGAAGTCTAGGAGTGAGATGCCCTGGGACTGGTCTTCCTTAGCTTCCTGTGGAAGAGCTCAGAAGCAATGTAAACTATTTCAGAGACTTATGAAAGCTAAATGCGGCAACTTTACAAGATAAGCCCAACTCTACACTGGAAAAAGTAACTACCCTAACTAGCTCCGATGGTGGAAACTTTAATGTCTTTTTATGAGCAGACAGTGATTTCTCAGTTAGTTGCACATACTTTCTGAATGCATCAATCAGTCATTTCACTTACCAGATTTTATTTGAATTCCTGCAGTTAGGGTTGCCAGCTCCCAGGTGAGAGTGGGGGATCCCGTGACTTTGTGGGCTCCTACTTGCCACTGCGGTGGCTCAAGTGGTTAAGACGCTGAACTGCAGGCTGTGAAAGGTCAGTAGTTCAGAAGTTCGAGACCCGGGTGCCGCATGACGGAGTGAGCTCCCGTCTCTAGTTCCAGCTCCTGCCAACCTAGCAGTTCGAAAGCAAGAAATTGCAAGTAGATAAATAGGTACCTCTTTGGTGGGAATGTAATCACATTCCGTGCGCCTTGGTGTTTAGTCATGCCGGCCACATGACCACAGAAACGTCTTCGGACAGCGCTGGCTCTTCGGCTTGGAAACGGAGATGAGCACCGCAACACTAGAGTCGGATTCGACTGGCTTTCGAGCAAGGGAACCTTTACCTTTTTTACTTGCCACTGGGCAGCTGCCTCAGCCTTACATAATGTCCCCGGTATGATGACATCACTCACCCCTCACATCCAGAAAGCTCCCTCCCACCCCTGTCGGAAAGAGCACACAACCTGGCAACCCTACCTGCAAAGCAATTGAGCGCATAGCCGTAGAAGATTCTTTCTGCAGTGACTGCAATTATTATTATTTTTTGCTCAAGAAATTTGGTACATTGCCACCTACTAAAGTTTTACATTTATGCTACCACATTCCATGGATTTTGGAAGGGGATGCGGACATGGGCCCACTGGCAAGGGCATAATATACCTTCTAGAAATGGTATGGTAAAATTTCTGTGGTAAAAAATGACATTAGTCCTACGGAAAAGGTGGGGGGAGAGTCAGTTCTCTGTATGAAATGCCAGAAACTCTATAGTTTTCTGTATTTCCTAGAGGTTTTCCCCAGAAGTGACATCACATCATAGGCCTGATGGCCATTTATTACACACAGTCCGAAGGGCAGGTAGAGCACCAGGAAGTGAAAGGAAACAAGGCATAACAAAAGAAGTATGAATACACATGTTGTGTCCACTGACCAGGGGCCAGTGAACACTCCAGAGCTTGACTCTGGAGGAACAATGGGGACTAGGCTCCTGGTCTCTCCACTGGGGGACCAATGGGACAGTGGCGGGAGACTTAAACCCACCAACGGGACCTAGGGGTGTGTCCCCAGGTGTGTATATAGTTGGCCAGATGGCTGTTTGACTTTGTCTTTGTGGTGTACCAGTAAACCATGCTGAGCCCTACATCGGTCTCAGTGATTTCGACACACGTTCAACCCACTACACAATAATGGTGATGAGGATGGGATCCGAACCCACGCGTTCAACCCACTACACAATGGCTGATTTCACACTAGAGCTGCCTCGCGGTTGCGCTGCCGTTTGCACCGACACTATTGGTCAATTTCACACCCGAAACTGCGAGGCTGCATTTGACCTGCATCTTGACCGAAGTCCTCTGCAGTTTCGTGATCCTCAAAAAACAGGATCACAAAAATGCGGGAGTCAAAATGCAGTGAGTCAAAATGCAGCACCACAGCTTCGGGTGTGAAATTGACAATAGTGTCGGTACAAACAGCGGCGCAACCGCAAGGCAGTTCTAGTGCGAAATCAGCCAATAACACGTTTCGGACAAAACAGGTCACTGCTTTTACTGATTACAGTACAAAGGAGCATTGGCACTTCATAGGGTAAGGATCCAGGCATTGGGTGATCTGCCCGTCAGCTGATGAAACCCATCTGCAACCCACATGTTGGGGCAACCAGGAGTGATAAGCAAGTTGTCTCACACGAGGTACAAGCCTCTGTGTGGAACCCTTTCCACCTGGGAGGGGAGCCCTGAGACTGCCCCCAAGCTGGGACCACCATTGCAAGGGCTCAACTCCCAAGACCCCTCAAGGGGATTCCTAACTCATAGCCTGCCCCTCTTAAATGGATTCAGCACAATGCCTAAACCACAAGAAGCAGTGACATAATGAACAGATTAAGAGTAACCACAATACAAATTTAAAAAGGAGGGAGGGAGGGCTGTTCTCAGAGAAGTGTGAGGCATAATGAACAGCCAGTGTTCCTACTAAGCTGCGCTACATGGTGTGACACACAAAGGTTTAGCACCAGCTCAGGGATTTTAAGCTCCTCCTTACACTAAGGCATCTCCCCTCCATTGAAAAAAATGTAGGATGTGGGCAGCTCATTCTGGGGGCTATAGAAATGGAGCCTCTGCTCCAATCTTTTTGAAACGGGGGGGTGGGTGGGTGTTGAGGAGAGGCTCAAGCTGCTATGCTGCAAGTTTGACGCCTCTACCTCAAAAACAGCCCTAGAAGAAGGAGGAGGAGGAGGTGGCGATTGGATTTATACCATACCCTTCACTACCCAAAGGAGTGCCAGAGTGGCTTACAATCCCTTTTCCTTCCCCTCCTCACAACAGACACCCTGGGAAGTAGGTGGGGCTCAGAGAGCTTTCTCCTGATCCGCCCTTGAGAGAACAGCTTTGAAAGAACTTATGACTGACCCAAGGTCACACCAGCAGCTACATGTTAATGAGTGGGGAATCAAACCCAGTTCTCCGAGGTTAGAGTCCGCACTTGTAACCACTAAACCAAACTGGCTCTCAACACTGGATACCCCAGTATTGGTTCTCCATTATACCCTATCGACCCATTGACAATAATCGTTCCCGTAGGCTATAAAGGAGATGGAGGAATAGATTTTTTGCACACTTTTTATGTTCTTCAGTATGATTTATAAACTGCTTTTAATCCAAGGAAAAGTGTATAAATATTTGAACAAATATGTAGTTTCGGCAGGTTGATAACACATAAGCAACTTCCTGTTTCTTAGCTTAGGCAGGGTTCTAACAGTGAGTGTTCCGCCTCTGTTGTACTTGTCCTGTAATTTGTAATATTTCACTTAAAAAAACAACAACCCCAAAGTTGTCTGCAATAGTCCCCTCCCCCCCCAAGTGCTGGTCTGTTCTCCAAGGCTTCTGCTTTTCTTATAATGTTCAAATTATTCTTAAAATATAGTATAACTGCTTCTGAGATTTTTACAAGGCTATGGAAATTATCTAAAAAACTAATTTATGTGGTAGTCGAATGTTGATTTGCTAACTACTTTAATGTGACTAGGGCCCCGGTCACACGGGCCAGAAAATGTGGGGGGGGGTGGCTGTTTGCCCTGGAGCAAAATAACGTGTGGCTGTCCTATCACATGTCCCGTCGAGGTCCTGTGGTTAGGAGGGAGGTGCCGATCACACAACTATCCTGCAGCATGGCAAAGAAGCGGCACAGCGCGATCACACCAGCAATCGCTAGGCGCCGCTTCCATGGCAAACGGGATGTTTTTTTCCTCACCTCTTTGTGCGCATGCGCTGTTGGGCGCTTTTGTGCATCCTGTGGAGACTTGGAAAAACAACAACCCTGTTTGCGACGGGTCATGGGTGGGGGCCGTATGCTATGGGATTCCAGTGGATCAGACACCCTCCCTTGCCCCGTGTTTTCCGGAAACTAGTACCTCGTAAGTACTAGTTTTTTAATCCACATCTTCGGCGGGAAGCCACGGGTTCGCCATGGGAGCACTACGCTTCCCAGATGTTGCGGTGTGATTGCGCCCAGAAATTCCATATCTTTAGCGCGGGAAATGCTTTGTGTGAACTGGGTCTAGGTTTTTTTACTCACAAGGTAGAGTTTTTGCTCACAGCACTATGGAGCTTCGAGGGAACACTGGGTGACATAATGAACAGATTTAGAATGACCAAAATGCAATCTTAAAAATGAGGGAGGGAGGAAGAGAGAGAAGGCTGCTCTTAAAGAACTGCAAGAATGAACTCAGAAGAGGGCTTTAAATAGGGGAAGAGCAAATTGCACTACTTGGGTCTGCCCTCTCTGAAGCCCCACCCATCAAACACAAGTTCCTGGTGGCCACCCATTAGATGTCCACATGGAAGGTGCCTGAGCCTCACCCTGCAGACACCAGGAAAGGCCATTGGAAGGAACACACGGTCCTTTCCCTTCCTCATGCCAAGCCCTGAAGCCCCAAAATAGCCTTTGGTAAGTCTGCAGCCACACTTTTGTTCTTCTCCCACTGCCACATAGAGCAAGGGGATCCCCTGCCTGTAACGGGGGACTGGCAACACTACTGGGATTATATGGTCCAGTTCAGACTGGTTGATCATGATAGTGCCCACCATAAGTTCATCGGGACACGTGCTTGCTTCCTTGTACACATAATAATAATATTAATCCAAAAGGGGAAAAAATCAATAAGAGGGAAGTGACATCAGAATGTTTTTTTTTTCCTGCAATATACCTGGGTATATCATTATCACCACTGCAATTAGCAAAATTATCACTATTACTTCTAAATGTATTTCATGTTCCTAGAAAAAACCAACAGCCCCTAGCAAAAAAGTTATCCAAGATTTAAGGATGCCATTAATATTCCCTGAATCAATCAGGGACTGGCATAAGGATAGAGAAGGATCCATCCGTCTGAGCTCTGACTCAGTGAAAGACAAGATTACAGTTAGTTGCATGATCATTCAAGTTGGAATTCTCAGAAACACTTGAAAACATTGCCAGAATAGCTGAACTGGTGTCCAAACGGAAAAGTTCCCCCAGAATGATGGTGTTTTTGGTGCTCGTCTTAGTGTTAGTCCCTTTGGCACAGTGTAAGTTTCCTCAGTGTCTCATGAAAGATCCTATTCCTATCCTTCACAAATACTATAAATTAGGGGACCTCAGCATTGCTGGCATTATGTCCCAGATCTACATGTTCTCCCACCCAATAACATTTGAAAACCGTCCATCTGAGGAACTCTTCGATGACCCTTTGTAAGAAACGGGATTATTCATCAAATTGTGCATGTAAATTTGATTAAGTTTTAGAGGGATGGAGAAAGTTGGGACCTGTGTTTTGTTCTCTCTTTTCATTCTTGTTTTCCAAGCCCAGGTGCTGTTGCTATGTGTTGTCGTCTCCCTTCATACTTTTCAGTGATATTTTTGCATTATGTGTAAACTGATTGCTCTGATTGTGTATGCATGTGTCCCCCGCCCCCATTTTTTTTTGGTCCCAGGACTAGTTATGTATCTATTGTTTAAATAATATTTATGCCTTCTTTCCTGGAGGGGGGGAGGATATTCTTGATAGCTTCAGAATAGAACATAATATATTTTCTCAGATGTGACTCTTATGTTCTACACGTGTCATCTGTCTGGTGTCTTGGTTAAAGGTAGCTATAGGTAACAATTGATCTAGGCTGGAATCAGAAAGAAGAAACCTTCCCTTTCAACTTGAAGTTCTCTGCCTTTATTGCAGGATCCTGACTCAGAACTACCAGCAGATCCTAGCCTTGGAATTTGCTGTAAAGGAAATCAATGAAAACTCCCAGATCTTACCCAACATCACTCTGGGCTTTGACATCTACAACAGCCATTTCAGTGCAAGTTGGACCTATCTGGCATCAATGGAACTTCTCTCCACAAAAGGCAGATTCATTCCCAACTACAGGTGTGATGCCCAGAACAACCCAGTTGCGGTCATTACAGGACCAAACTCCAACATCGCTCTCTTCACAGCAGTTATTCTCTGCATCTACAAGATCCCACAGGTAAAGGTTTATGAAGGGAGAATGAAATTTCTTGTCTTTTAGATGTGGTTTGGAGACCAGAACTAGCATTACAATAAAAAAATGTACTTCTTATGGGCAGCGTCAAGGGAAAGCAATTCATTGAACTCCTTGGAAGTAGATCAAGATGCCTAGCCATGTTACTCTGTCTGTAGCTTTAGAAAAGAGCAAGAGCCCCGTAGCACCTTACAGATTAACAAAATATGTTGCATGGTATGAGCTTTCATGAGTCACTGCTCACTTCTTCAGATACATTTATATTCTGCCCCCAGATCATATAAGGTTAAACTCCCCTGGCAAAAGAAGAAGAAACGGAAAGACAAGAAGACATCTAAATGAAGATCTGAGTTTTTGCTATGTTAAAATTTAATGAATTTGTGTTACTGCCCAGATGCGATATAATAACCAAAAATTCATTTTTGTTCTTTCTATTTGAATACTTTTTATTAGAAACTAAATGATATAGTGTAACCATAATTTCATAGGAAAATATCCAAAGCGTAAAATAGACTATTAATGTACCTTGTTACTCTCTATTTGTAGTGTGTAGATTGTAGTTTATAGTGGTAAAAAATAAAAAAAAGATACATTTATATTCCTTGGACTATAAACAAAATGCAATTAATACTTTTAGGTGTGTAGCAATGATATAATAATGTAGAGCCTCTGTGTATCTCATCGTAGGTCACATTACTGCAAACATTAACTTTAGTTGGCAAGCCAAGTTATATGATCAATAATATGTTGTGGAAATTAATTGACCCTGATTTAAGTTTTTAAATATCTTTCCCAATTCTTCTTTCTTGAGATATCTTATGGTTCTGCACCAAAGATGGACAACAAGACACAATCTGTTTTCTTTCACCATATGTTCCCAAACCAGGCCCATCAAAATTTGGGGATTCTTCATTTATTGCTGTATTTCAGGTGGACTTGGATTGGGGTGATTTCTGTGAGCGATGAGACTGGAGAAATATTTGTGCAGGACATAGCTCCTATGCTATCTCAGAATGGCATCTGCTTTGACTTCATAGCAACAATTCCAGCAACAGCATTTTCCAGTGAAATTGCTATAGTAATGTCAGAAGGGGTTGAAATATACAAACTTGTCATGAGAAGCACTGCCAAAGTTATGGTCCTACATGGTGAAATTCAGACCATGATATTTTTAAGACTGTTTCTCCGAATCCCAGAATTTGAAGACATACCAGTTGAGGCAAAAGGAAAAATCTGGATTTTGACAGCTCAGGTGGACTTCACTTCACATCCCTTTCAAAGAAACTGGGACATCAGTTTTGTCCATGGTGCCATCTCCTTTGCAGTTCACTCAGCGGAGCTCTCAGGATTCCAAAAGTTTCTCCAGGAGAAAAATCTCACCTCTGCAAAAGAAGATGGCTTTATCAGACAATTCTGGCAACAGGCATTTCTATGTTCATTCTCCAACTTTACGGTAGACAAGGAGGGTGGGGAAATCTGTACTGGAGAGGAGAAACTGAAGGATCTTCCTGAATCTGTGTTTGAAACAACCACAACTACCCACAGCTATAACATCTATAATGGTGTCTATGCTGTGGTCCATGCTTTGCAGGCTATGTGGTCCTCCAGATTCAGAGCAACTGTTCCTGATGGGCGATGGAATCTTCTGAATCAAGAGTGGTGGCAGGTGACATTCCCATCATATTCACTTGTTTGTTAAATGAATTTTCTGCTTAAAATGTTTGTACCTGTTTTTCTCTGGGAAATTAAGATGACTTACAAATAAAACATCACCAGGACAATCTACCACAAAATTAATTCTGGCTTTTTCAGTCATTATAAAACATCCCAATGCATTCAAATGGCCAACATTATAAGAATTATGATAATCCCTCTCAACCAAATAATTCAGTTTCTAGCTGTAAATTTCCATCAACCTCCAAGAAGAGCTGTCTGAAACACTCTTAATAAATCCCTGGAAGTGTAGAGTGAATGTGGCTTTTAAACTTCCTACAATGTACGTGTGTGAACTCAGGCAGATCATGAGAGGGAGGGCAGGAAGGGTTGTCTCAATGCTTACTTCTTGTGGCCCTTTCTTACATGTCCTGTGAAAGGCTGATTGCCGCTTTGGGGTCAGGAAGCAATTTTTCTCCAGGCCACTTTGGCCTGGAGGTTTTTTTTGTCATCTTCTGGGTGTGGAACAGTGGTCACTGTAGGTGTGTGTGGGGGAGGTATTTGTGAATTTCCTGCATTGTGCAGGGAGGTTGGACTAGATGACCCGGGAGGTCCATTCCAACTCTATGATTCTATGTAATTCCTACAGTGACTTAAATTCCCTGTAATGGGCTGAGAAGCACTCTGTGGAGGGCGTGCTGTGAAGCAAGTGCCTGTGGCAGTGTTAAGCTTACTGTGTTAAGCACTGGCTGAAGCTTCCAAATCAATTTAAGGGATGTTCCATTTAAATTCCATCTCAGTAAACCAATCCAGAGATTACACTGGGATAGATCAGTATAGCTAATGCGGCAGAGTAACCTAGGGAGATACCTTGTGAGTTAAAACCTGGTCCATGCCAACCCTCCTCCCCATTACCAAGGATGGATCCAAGAGCACCCCTCAGTGTCTTTACTTACTCTCTCAGATATAATCTCCCCCCATCTAACTGGCAGAATCATCACTAGAAAGCTTCATTTTCTTCTTGTCGAGGATTCCATTTCATCTTGGTCTCCAACAGCCACTTAAAGCAAAGCTTGACGATACTGGTTCAAGACATCCGGAGGAGCCTCTACAGGAATGACAGCAATGGATGTATCATCTAGGTTTTCATTACAGCCAACTCCCAATTAAAATATTTTTACCTAAATATTACAGAGCAAATTGAGACCCTTAGAGAGTCTCTACAAGTATATCCAAATCACCTCACACTTCTACAATGACAGAAATTATTGGAGCTCTCTTCAGGAAAGAACAGAACCCCCCTGAAAGCTTTACTGCAGTTGATCTCCCAAGACACTACGATAGACTTGTCAAACATTAATGACAAGTCTAAGTAAACCAATAGGTACGTGCTGCTTAGAACGGATAAGAGGAAGTACTTCTTCACCCGAAGAGTGATTAACACTTGGGATTCACTGCCACAGGAAGTGGTGGGTGCTACAACCATGGACGGTTTCAAGAGGGAATTAGATAAGCATATGGAGCAGAGGTCCATCAGTATCTATAGGCCACAAGGTATCGATAGGGGCTCTGGGGCAAGTGATGTTCTGTCATCTTGGTGCTT